TTTTACTTTCTGATTTTATTCTTTAAACAGAAAAATGTCTGATCTTATTAAGATGTCTGTTAAAAAAACGAACACATTAGAAGTATTTATATGCGATGTATGTATCAACAATACAATCAAAGAAACCGAATTATACAAAATAAAATAAAATAAATTAGAATTTAAATTCTATAATAGAGGAAGAGCGGAATAGAGGAATGACAGAGGAATAAGAGAGGAATAGTCGGGGAATAGAGGAAGAGCGGAATAGAGGAATGACAGAGGAATAAGAGAGGAATAGTCGGGGAATAGAGGAAGAGCGGAATAGAGGAATAGCGACCGACCGACCGGAATACATTTTGAAACGTTCCCTAAGTGTCTTGAGAGAGTCGCAGCGAGTTTATTCGTGTGATGCTAGGATGATTTTGTTATCATTGATGGGTGTAAGCCCCCATTTAGCAAATGTCAATTATCTTACGTATACAAAAGCAAAAAAAGACACTAATATTTATATAGTGGCTTTTGAGCAGAGCTATTTGTAAGAAACTGTCCCATTTTCGGAAATGGAAAAAGCGTTTCTTTGCGTTTTGTGGAACAGCAATTGACTAGCGTTAAATCATCACTTATTAGTAAAGAAAAAACGAAAGTTGATGATAAAAATGTCATTGATTCTTTAACACCGTGTCAGTTATTAAAAAAACTGGAAGAATAACACGTTCCAGCATTATCATAAGAAATTGATGCAATCCTTTTGAAATTTGGTTTGTATGAACCAAATAACATGAGTAAATCAGAAGGACGAATCGCGCTAATGCACGGCTTTGATTGTTTTACGAACGTCGCTCGTGAAACCACGTGAGTTATGCAAAATTTATATCTGTATAAATGATCGATTGATATTCTCCACTTCAATTTCAGGGCGAATGAAAGAAATATCGAAAATGGGTATTTGTCAATCGTTGGATGTACAACAGGAGCACATTTTGAAAAAGTGTTGACAGATTGTTTTGATCCGATGGCTTGATACAACGATTCTTGTTTTATTGTATGACGAACCGGATAACTTCGAAACGTATTTCAATGTTGAATACTACGGATTCGGAACTGGCTTACAATCATCGTTTACCATCCTATCGTCAACTGTTATTTGCATTGACATTATTTGATGAGATAACATTTTTGTTTACAAACAATAGTGAATGTGAAGCTGAAGATTTTGTGGATGCTGTAACTGAACACTGGAAAATCGAACGCATGCTGGTGCTTTCTTTTGAAAGTAGAAGATCAGATTTCTTTTCTTTCTATAGCGCATGATGGTTCACATCCTCATTATAGTCGTGCGATTTTTGCACGTATGCCAGAAATTTATGAAAGAATGTGTGTGATTATGCAACAAATAGAATATGCTGTTCGTTTATTCAATGGCTTACAATTTGAATGTAATGTTATCGATGATACATTTCGAAGCCATTTAAGTTCGGCATTTGATCGGATCGTTCGACCCTTAATGGCAAAATGTGCATCGTCAAACAGAAATTGTTTGCCAGTTGATTTGTTCGTATTTGAACTTGTTCAAATATTAGTACAAAAAAATCTCTTACCATCATCGATGCAAATGTTGAATGATGATATCAATATTTTGGAATGGTCCAGAATCACAAAGACCGATGATCTCATCAAATCGTCGAAAGGTGGGGGAATTAATTCGTGGAAGCAAGCAATAACTTTGCATCAGAAAATTCTTCTTTGCCGGTTCCAGGCATTTATTCGTATATCATTGTCATTGTCGGCGAATAATAGGATGGCAATTTGTAAAGGGTTCACATCAGTCGAAATTCAAGAATATTTGACTCAGTTATGTGATGATGGCCTGCTAAGAAGAGGTCCATTTATTGTGAAAGATCGACAGCGAGAATCATGGATGAAAATATTACCGGATGTGAACAATGGCGATGGAAAAGAAATGTTTGAGCAAAAGCTTTGTGCTCATGGTATGAGCCTAGTTGAATATCTTGATGCGTATGTAAAAGCTACATTGCCGGATGGTTTCAAATACACTGACGATGGCAAAAAGTGGCTGAAAGCTGCAGTTAGTGAAGGAGATAATCGTGATGGAAAAAACCAGCCATAACTTGAGGAGATATCGGGTCCATAAAGCATGTAGGCTATGCTCGAATGTTCGCAGCAGCTGTGTGTATTTTGCCTGTTTTAGGTGATGAAGCAAATGGTCAAATGATTGTTGGTTTAGAAGAATCATGGTTGTTAAACAAAGAAAATGAAAACGAAGGTTTAAATGCAAGAAGAAATGTCAGTGAAAAAGCATTATCCTATTTGCCGTTAAGCTATAGCAGTAATGAGAATAAAGATGAAAGCGATTACGGTGAAAAGAATCAATCAGAAACGGAGGAAAATTTGGGTATGCTGGACGTGTGATTTACGCTGGAATTATCACATTATTCTATGTATTTTGCCCGTTTTAGTTGGTGAGAGAGTTAGTAGAAATTGTAATATGTTTGTTGACGATGAACCACTATTATCAGATGTTACCCAAGAAAAAGAGTTGTTAGAAACGTCAATGGAATTTGAGGACATGAAAAATAAATCAAATGATGTTGCAACATCGTGACAATACTCTTTATCTGGCGATGTTTGTCAATTGGTGAACAAGATCTTGATGTCACGAAAGGTTGTTATGTCAACAACGGATATCAGCAAAGTTGATCCACATGTTTTAAAATATCTCAAAGAACGTGCTAAACGATGGTTGGTAGATGATGGTTTATTGATCTCTGGATTATTTTTTTCATACTATTCGAGTGACAAATCGCCGCCATCAAAACTGGGATATATCAAACGTTATCTAAAAGATGACAGTGAGGACGAGAAAATCCGAAAGAAATTGAAAGCTTATAATATTGTTACATTAGAATACAAAAAAACGTTTTTGGGCAGCATTAAAAAATCTCAATCTCATTCAATGTTATTGAATCTAAGTGCAATGGAGATTCTAGGTAAACAAGTTCGGTGAAAATAAAATGCAGTTTTTGTGTGATAATTCATTCATTCTTTTTTGGAACCTTCTAGGTGAAGAACCGTATAGTGCTGTAGTGGAAGTGGATCAATCGTTTTTATTTGAGAAGAAGTCTAACGCTGGCGAAGAATCGAAGTTGAAAGATATAGTCAATATTGGTAAGGATGTCTCTGTTATAGGTTCTGACGTACAACGGTAGATTAAAAGAGGTTTCGCCGCAGCAAAGATTTCGGTAGTATAGTAAACACTTCTTTTCAATGAAGCCATTTTCATTCACGTTATCTGCTTAAAAACTTCCTTTTTGAGATGATCTGTTCGAATTACGTTTGTACTCATCAAAGACGGAATTCCTAGGGCTAGAAAATCCATTTCGTTTCATTTTCATTAAAGTTTGGTTAGGTACAAAAATTTGACTTATTATTTAGAAAATTTCAAACGTTTTTTTGCTACAACATGTTGCTGTGTTGAATGTGAAAAAATAGTAGTCTGTGCAATTTTTTACTGTCAAAGGAAAGGTCTCAAAGGTATGGCCAAAGTACGAAAAGAAGTCGCTTTTCTGAAATATTTTGGTGTCTTGGGAGAAATCGATTGCTCGACAATGAAAGAATTTTATCGGGTAGAAGAGTGAATTCTACTGATTTCATTCAATCGAAGAGGTTTTACAGGAAGTTTCAAGAGCCATCAACATTCACTATTAGCGGAGCATCCGATGATCGATATAAAATTGAATGCTCACATAGAACATTCGGCCAATTTTCTTGATTTACATGTGGGAAATCAAAATGGAAAATTAGTAACAAAAGTATATCATAAACCAGCGTATGAACCTTATTATTTGCCATTCAACAGTATTCATCCGATCCATATGAAGAAGAATATTCCTTATGCAATGTTCCTAAGAGCTATTCGATATTGCTCTACATATCAGTTATTTATCAATGAACGTGAATCATTGAGAATGACCTTATTACTGAATAAATACCCAAACAAAATAATACGAGACCAGTTTAATTCTGTAGTAGAAAAGTTTGGAATCAATTCACCAATATCACCAGAAAATTATACTCAAATGCGTACGAAAATTATTTCTCAACCCCTTCAAGAAAAACAGTCGATAAATTATGAAACTAATTTATTCGTTCATTTTACCTATTGTTCCAACATGAGAACATTCCCTATCCAATTCCATAACTTATGAAATAAATATTTCGCTGAATCTCCAATAAATGATATTCAGCCAATATTAGGAACCAGCAATGCATAAAATTTATTAAGACAATTACCACTTGTTACCCCAAAATAAGTCTTTTAGATTCTTTTAATTTTCAATTTTATTAAACTTCATTCTATCGTCTAAATCCCTATACTAGTTTTTCTACAATTCCTTCGTTTTTCTTTTTCTTTTACTAATTATAAGCTATAATGTAATGCAGAGCCCTGAAGAGTGTTTCAAATTTTCAATAAAGACGAGACGCGTCGGCGAATTAGAATATCTGCATTACATCTCTTTATTTCTAAACCTCCTGAAGTTGATCGATAGCCTCAGATTGATTGCTGAAAAGCAAGAGTTGGGATCTAGCAGATTAATTTATATTTTGCGTGAATATAGATTGATCTGTTTTTCGTTTGATTCATTTACCGCAGTCTAACGTTTACTTAGCATTGCTTTGAATTTTCGTGATTCTAGCAAGTGACTAAGTGGTTATATTTACTACTCATTCTTATTTGCGATCTTCTATGATCATTCGAATAGAGTCTTGCAGTGGATATGGTCTAAGTCATCTGACGAGTCCCTTTAGAAAGGACGAAATCTAGATCATGGCGTCTCGACTCACCCTCACCCACCCTCAATTTGTGATCTACTAAGATCATTTGAATAGATACTAGTCTTGCAATAGTCTAGGTCATCTGATGACACCCTTAAGCAAGGTCGAAATCTAGATCGTGGTTGCTTGACTTACCCTCACCCACCCTCAAATCTGTATGTTTTTATTCTTAGAACCTTTAGAGAATATTGTTTTCAGATTCAGCATTAAAAACTGATTGTAGAAAAGGTATTGAATCGGTTTTGTCTCGAAAATTCTTTTCATGATCACGCTTCGAACTCCCTCGATTGTTGTCCTGATAGGTCAATCTAGTGAACCTATCTAGTTTTTTTTGTTAAGTGAGGTATCCAGGTCAAACCGTACGTTGCGTATACGAACCATATTACGGCCGTATGAGTGGATGCAGAAATACGGACCACATTATCACGAAACTTGAGTACTGTACGGGCGTATTGTTACGGTATACGATTCTCCGTTTGTCAGACTATAAAATCGAGGATCGTTAAAAGCTTTATTCCAATGATCGTTCGGTCCGTATTTCTGCATCCATTCAGATGGCCGTTTACGGAGCCGTATTGTGCGGCCTGGGTAACGAAATTTTTTATTTCTTTTGTTTCATCATACTAACCCCCGTAAAAGTACGCATCGTTTTTGTTTACGTCTGTTTTCTCGGCCGAGAAAAACTGTTTTTACTTGTGGTATAGGAAAACGGGGAGGTCATTCTCAAATAGAATCTGTATTTTTCACTCAAATCGACTGAAAATGTGTTTCTGTTGGTAAAATTCGATGGCGAATCGAATGAGCATACTCCGAACTTACACATGACGTGGAGGATCTTCATGAGGTTTTTGGAAAACCTTTTTTCAAAACTGTTTTGCAACCATATCCAGTGAATTTTATTCATATTTTTGTTAAATAACTTTCGATGGTAGCAATGAACAAAAAAGAGAGATACATATCATGAAAGCAAAGACAGAGTGATAACAAGACCTGGCGAAGATAGCACGAATACACAGAGATCTAGAACATATGGAGTACATATATAGATGATCTCAGGTTGACCCTTTATACAGCGGCTTTATATTCCATCACCGAGTAAATGTAATAACAAAAACGATTTAAAAGAATTAAAAATGAAAATACTGGATATGGTTGCAAAACAGTTTTGAAAAAAGGTTTTCCAAAAACCTCATGAAGATCCTCCACGTCATGTGTAAGTTCGGAGTATGCTCATTCGATTCGCCATCGAATTTTACCAACAGAAACACCTTTTTAGTCGATTTGAGTGAAAAATACAGATTCTATTTGAGAATGACCTCCCCGTTTTCCTATACCACAAGTAAAAACAATTTTTCTCGGCCGAGAAAACAGACGTAAACAAAAACGATGCGTACTTTTACGGGGGTTAGTATGATGAAACAAAAGAAATAAAAAATTTCGTTACCCAGGCCGCACAATAC